TGGTGCCCGCCCGGCGGGTCGGGCGTTGGGGTGGTGGTCGGCCGGGTACTGCGGGCGCCCTTAGGTTTGTGACTTCTCTCTTTCCTTTTTTTTTTTTTTTCCCCTCCCTTTGGTAAAAGCCTTACGGCCGCAGGCGCGGAGAACACGAGGTCGCGGGGCTTTGAACTGTGAAGTCAGCCACGTAGGTAGGTCGTGAATCTTCCGGTTTTGTTTTTGGACTCTGTGTTGTCATCCTTTAGGTGGATGGAGTATTTTCTTATCTTTTTTTTCCCTTTCAGTGGGAAAAAAAACAAACTTTAGGGGCAATTTAAGCAAAATCCTCCATACTTTCCCACACCCATTTTAAGCCTATCCCTCCTACACTGCAAATAACTACTTTAAAAAAATCTAAAAAAATAAAGATGCTTGTGAAACTAAGGAGGGGATTACTTTTATTTATCTGTTTATTTTCCTGATGGAAGGATCTTGTGTAATGCTCAGGTACTGGCAGTCACTCTTTAAGCTGCATCAATGTAGAGGCAACCCTGGTAACTGTAATACTACCACAACAACTTATACTTAACTGAAGTAATTTAAATTAGGACTTGCTCTTTTTGCACTCCTAATGAATGTTTAGTTGATGACATTTGCTTAGGTAATCTGTCTGCTTAAGAATAGCTTAGTGAAGGTACAGATGTGTTTCTGAAGACTGCACTTTTCATCTTGTCGAAACTAATTTTGAGAGACAAAGAATACAATTTCTGTCGTAATGATTTCTCCTTGAGGAGAGAAGAAAGGGAATATCAAAGATGAAATTGTAGAAAGTGGTCCTGCAAATGCTCATAACCATTAATGAGCCAAGTGGCAATTCAAATTAGCAGTAAGATCATTCACTGTATATAAATCTTAAGTATGTGCATAAATGCAGTTGTGTGTAAATATTTGCATTGTTCTCTTTAAATTTAATATCTCCCATTAGCTTGGGTTAGAAATTAGAATCTGAATATGTATGTCTGGATAACTAAAATTATTCTGCTAGTAGATAATATTCTCTACATGCTTTTTTTTATTAAGAAAGGATGATCTCTTTTCCACGGTAAAGAATCAGTCATGCTGTTTTCAGAAAAAACTTCCTAGTGAGGTTTCTCTATATTTATCCTAAGATATATATATATATATGTATGTATGTATACACACACATATCAGAAACTTAAATTGTAGTGTTATGGTCTATAAAGTATTGTAATCCTTTTGCACACCAGCTGAGTGAACACTGAAACTGTTGTTACATAGGGTTTGTTTTCTGGAAATGTTGCAGCTGTATCATACATTATCTTTGATTGAGAGGCTGTTTCACCAGTAATTTATTGACAGTTTTCTTATGCTATCGTATTACAAGACCAAATCAATTATTTTGAAGCCTGCTAGTAATTCGGACCTCATGGGCACGTCAAACTCTGTGGTGGCTTGTGGTGTAGCAGTCGGAGCAAAGGTAGTGGTGATGGTGGCATGACAGGAGTGTTTTGAACATCCTGTCATGGTTTCTATTGTCCAAAGAAATAAACTGAATTGCTTTAGAAATAGGAAGGAGAGAAGTTCAATGTGTGTTGAAGGTGACTTTCTGCACATTATTATTGTTATTATTGTTATTATTTTTACTGTGGCATTTTTTCTAGGTTTCGGAGCGTTCATTGTAATGATAAAACATTGGTCATAGAGTAGTGACAAGAAATCAGATCATGTCCTATGGAGGTGTTAGAGTAAACAAGAAATGTTGGGGTCATGTTCTCATTTTTGTCTTTCTTTCCTCAGCAAGAAGTATAACAGACACTAATGATTTTACGTTTCTAGAAGGAGTACTAGTTTGTGGTGATGAAATAGTGTTAATCAGCAGTTGCTGCTATAATTCCTCTTCCATTGGGGAGGAATTAGTGTGATACCTGGTAACTGGCGCAAGCCTTTTAGAAGGTTATGGTGTTTACATACCAGAGCTTTTGACCCCAAAGCGGGGTGTGTGTGTATATGGTTTGTTTGTTTGGGGGTTTTTTGGCCAGTCAGTTTAGATTTCTTACTAGAATTACAATACAGTAATATGCAAATAATATTTTTACATTATTGACATGTGAGTTGCAAGGAAAATGCCTCATTCTGTGGTGTATGATTGAGGGGGTGGAGACAGTTCTTAGGAGAACAAGTTGGAGAATTTTTTTCCAACTGTAAAAATAGTACTGAGAGATTTGCTTTGTTTAATATGACTTATAGACGAACCTTTACAATGAGGCATGAAGCATATTGTTGAATTAAATCTATTCAATAATACAACAGTTTAAAAAATACCTTCTTGGAAGTATCTTTCTTGCAAGTCTCCTTTCTTTGTTTCATTTTTTGGGGGACTGAAGTTTGTTGAGGTGGCAAATTGTATGTGAGCTCAGCATACCATACAGCTAAGAAAATCTTACTAGTGTATTTTGCAGACTCTGTCATGACTCCTGTTAGCTCTGGTCTGTGCGTGCAGGCATCCACTGGATTCTGGTCAGTATTGCAGAGCAGTTGTTGTATGTAATTCAAGTATGACTGGAGGCTTTCCCTTGCTTTTAAATGGTACTTTGACTAGTCAAATTAGCTTTGACCGACTGCAGCTGAATGATGCAGTTATGTTTGGTCACCTCCTCAGCTCTGGATATCTCTTTCTCACTGTACACCTCTCCGTATGTTCAGATATGAGAAAACGGGTGAAGAGTAATGCGGCCCTTCTTCCAATCTTGCTAGTACCTTTTTTTGTCATATTTATAAGAATGTTTGCATTAAACATTTCTGTGTAATGTTAGTTCTGTTATGTCCCCTACTGTTAATGTTGGCCTGTAAAGCAAATAATTGAGTTTTAAAGGAACTGACAGATAAGTGATGTGAAGGTGTCAGTCAGTGTTCTGATACTTTAAGCATGGAGTCAAAGAAATGTTTTCTCACGTATGCTGAAAGGTTGTAGGAATTAGCTGCTGTTTTCTCCAGATAAGTACTTGGTTCACGGACGTGTGACTTCTAATGCAATTTGTCAATTCTTAAAGCTTTCTTAACAGGGTTAACGTGAAGATTTATTGAATGTTATAGCTGTCTTGCAGTATTCCTAGTCCTCTAAAAGTGCTGAAGTATACGTGATGATGATTGCACAATTAAACAATCCCCCCTCAGAATATATTATTGAACAGAATAATTTGAGATTCGTCTGAAAGCAGGGGCATGGCGTTGCTTCCCACAGCCGTAGGTGCATGTGTTGCACGGGGGAGATAAATGCTCCTGTAAAGCATGCAGGTGCTGAGATGGGCAGGTTTTGCTCCTTTTTGTGGAGAGGAGGAAAAAAAATCCGTCAAGAGGTTTTTGAGCATTCACAGTCACCTAAGGGTTCCAGATGGAAGTCTTGGTGCAGCAAGTCTGGCATGCCTAGTATCTTTCGTTTTAATTGCATGATTACTGGGGATGCCAAGAAATAATGACAAATTTGAGAAATAAGCAGCCTGAGACAAGTGGAAGTGGTTAAGAGACTAATCAGACAGCTGCACCAAAGGTGTTACAGTGGGGGCTTCACTCAAAATAAAGAGCAGAATCGAGAGGGACTCGAGCAATGAGAATGCTGGCAGTTACAATAAAGAAAATGTAAAAAAGTTAAGCTGGTGATTTGGGAAAGTGCCCTGTGAGAGGATCTATTCTTGGTGCCTGTTACACAGCTGGGTAGCTGTGCTTGAGGACCCCAGGGTCTCTTTCTAGTTCTGTGTTTTGTCTGCAGTTAGAGGTTGATATATGAGATTAAAGTACTAGTCCAACAATAATTATTATCCCAGGAGGAATAAAACTTTCCGTTGATTAGCTGCCTTTCGTGAAGGCACAGTTCAGTGAAGGCAGACCTACTTTAAAGCACTGCTCCATCTTTCTCTTCAGTGCTAACATTAACAGAAGGGTTGAGGAGGAGGGTGTAAGGAGGAGGACGTAAGGTAGCAGTATAATCTTCAGCAGGTTTTGCAGGCCACTTCCTGAAAGGATGAATACACTGTATGAATTTTGATCTTCTCTGATTTGGTTTGATCCTTCTGTCTGATAAAATGAGTAATGTTTGTCTTAAGAGGTCAAAGGAGGAACAGATATCTGCTCTGCTTGCGCAGTAGTGCATCAGCATAGTACATGAGGAAAGCAAGCTGCTGGCACTTGCACTGTCTGCAGGAGCTAGGAACTGCTGTCAAACCTGCTGCTAAGGTACTTATTTGTTAAATACCATAACTGAAATGGGTCTCCAGGGATTGTGTTAAACAAATGGCTTGTTTATTTTGTTGATATTAAAAGTACGGGCCGTAATACGGGCCAACGTCTAGTACTGTGGAAGGTCTGTCCTGCTGCAGGCATCTGAGCGCTTGATTTGATATTGTGGTTATTAGAAACATATGGTTATGATTAGTAGATATTAGGTTATCAGTTCAGTCTGTGGCTGGACAGAGCCTGAATCCTCTCTCCACCATGTGTAAGCTGTAGCTGAAGTGACACGGCAATCAGGTTTGTTTGCACTGCATAAACTATTGCCTCTGTATGGGAAGAGGCGCACTGGAGGAGAAATTGCAATTCTTCCTTAGCACAGTAAAGGAGGAATTATCATATAAATGATGGAGGGTGTTCCTAAAGTTAGGAGGAGATTATACCTAGTGATGACAGCGCCTGTTGAGTTATTTCTTCACAGCAAAAGAGTACAATATTTACAGTTGTCGCTTCAGCAACTGGGGATAAAATATTGCAAGTATCTCTCTCCATTTAGACCAAAACAGAGAGCTGTTTGTTTCATCAGTATCTAAATCACTGTATAAAGACAAAACAACGCCTGAACCAAATAACTGGGCTTTACAGACTGCATCATTGTTTGCTGGGCATCTGGGTATTCTGTGCTTTTTTACAAGTTACTGTGCAACTCAGGAAAATGTTTTTGACTGTACATGCTTTGAACTTTATCAGCCATCACCATATGCTGATTTGTTTCTTAGAAAGGCTTTCTTTTCACAAAATAGTGTGGTGTCACCAAAGTCTTTCCAGTCAACCTCTCAGTTGTCCTCCCGGAAAAATAAGTGTATTTTGTCTTTTGCATGAAGTTGGCAGTTTCTATCTGAAGTATAGGCCTATCTTTGTATGGACTTGATATAGGCTATCTTTCACTTCCTTTTTGGAAAGGGAT